TTTTTTTTTTTTTTTTAATTACTGCTTTTGTGTGTGCTATTATTTAATTAGTCGATTTGTATGTTTGTGTTTGCCGAGGGACTGATCTAAGCGTCACTGGGTTCAGAAAGGATGCAGCCTAATATATAATTTACAATACATATTTGTGTGTGTATGTATATATTGGAACACACAATTTTTTTCTTTTGAGAAAGACACAAATTTTGAAAAAAGATTTTTTTGGCATATATGTAGACATAGTCTAAATTTGGTTTAATTTGCTCATAGAGGCTGGATTTGCTACTTACTATTTTACTCTGGTTAGAGATTTGTATGACCTTTTAGTTTAGTGATAAGCCTGGGATTTAAAGTACGATAATCATTAATTATTTTGTTAGATAAATTATTATTCGAGTGAAATAGGTCCAATTGGAGTGGAATTTATATAGAGGGTTCATATAGCCATCTCAATTAGTTTTGAGATTGAGGTGGTGGTGGTTGTTGGTTAGTTTCTTTGTAGGTTTGAAGTTTGTTAAAAATTTAAGCTTTCACTTGACTTAATAGCTAACAAGTCTTTGTTTTGAAATTAGTAGCAAAGTGATTCCTTTTCCACGGTGAAAAGGGTATCGGTATTTACACTAGTTTCACTTACGCGAAGTTCTTATCTTGATGTGTATCTATGATCTATATGCTAAAGATGGAGAAGTGTGATTTGTTAATGATCTTTGTCCTTCTTGTGTTTCTTATCTTTTGTGGATGTAAACCTTTGGTAGAGTTTAGGAGATTTTTTTGTTTTGAAGTGTGTAAAATCCTTCTTCTTTATTTTGTAATCTATGCATCTTCTGGATGCTTTTGTTATTAATACCTCTTCATTAAAAAAATGTGTAAAATCCTTGTGCTTTAAAGGTAGTTGATTGGTGGCAGTGGTTCTATAAAGGTGCCTTACTAAAGTTTTGAGAAATCTTGGATCAAGCAGGGCCATTTTCTGACATAACTTTTTTTTTGTCAAATGATCATTTTATTGGCTAAACTTTGGAATGTTTATGATATATTATACTTATAAAATGTTTATGATAGGTTGTATGTCTTAGAGCCGTGGAAACAGCCTCATGTAGAAATGCAAGATAAGGCTGCGTACAATAGACCCTTGTGGTTTGGCCCTTCCCCGGACCCTGCGCATAGCGGGAGCTTAGTGCACCGGGCTGCCCTTTTGTATGTCTTAGAGTTGCATTTCCGGTTTATTAGTTGATTATGGAACACCTATATGTTACTGGATGGATTTGTATGTTGATAGGACTCCTTATCTATAACAGAAGACTTATAAATACGAATAAGACAAAAACCTAGTTTATTGAGATGCAAGAGGAAAACTTTCTTATATCTTCTTAAACATGATGGCTTGGTCGAGAGAGAAATTAGTTTCAGATTCATACATGGGAAAACTTGAGATGCTCAGCCTGACGTTCCTTGTGTACAAAGATTCATGTCAATTTGCAAACCTGAAGTAGTTATATTTATACCGAGTAACTGTAGTGTCAAAGAAAAAATTCCTTTCTAATTAGGTATGACTTGTGAGATGCTAAATTTTCGTGCAATCAACTGGTCTTTCCTTAAGGTTAAATTACACGTCTCCTAGTTATCCTCCGCAGGTTAATGGGAGAAACTTCCCTTTATTCCTCACTCCCTTTTCTCTTAAATGTTTGCCTGAAAAAAGTGGAGAAATTCAAAAGAGGAGTGGTTTGCTTTATTTTTGCCCCGTAGTCATTACAAATCTGAAGTATCTCAGGGTGGTAACATTTCTGCAGGGACCTTGGCAACTCAAAGCTATCTGGTCATTTGGTACCTGAACTTGGAAAGCTCGAACATCTACAGTATTTGTGAGTAACTATTTTAAATCTTGAATTGACTTGCCATTTCCGTCAGTGACTCTATTGGTTTTCAAGGAATCATATACATGATGTAATTGTTTTGCTGCTTCAGGGAGCTTTACAAAAATAATATTCAGGGAACCATCCCTAAAGAGCTTGGTAACTTGAAGAGCCTTATCAGTCTGGATCTGTACAACAATAATATTTCAGGGACAATCCCTCCTTCACTGGGAAAGTTGAAAAATCTTGTTTTCCTGTAAGTT